GCAATATATTAGTGTTCTAAGAATCTTTAGTAATTTTGCATCAACACACAATCGAGTTTCATATGCAAATGACCATGCTCTCACACAAAAGGTCATAAAACTCCCCAGTATTTCCAACCTCCCGCTTGGAATTTCAGCCTTTCTCATTGGACAAGCCCATCCTGAGAGGCGTGAATCTTCTCAGACCTTAAAGGGCTCACGCATAGTTCCGCCCAGGTCTTCTGCTAAGTCTTCTGATTGCTGCCCGTGTGGAGAGCCTGAGCCGGTGCGGGCGTGCCAGGTGGGCTCCAACACATAGCCTTTCAGTCGGCGGTTCTGTTAGATTCTGAGAAGATGAGGATGTGAGCTAGAACGCTTCTGCAACCCTTAAGTCTGCACCAGGCTTCGGCCTTGACTTTACATTCACCAAAGATCCTAGGATCTCAGCTGATGTCTCTCTTAGCTCTTTTTCACTTTCCACTGGGAAGAAACTCCCAATCACCATCGAGTCAGAACATCTTTGGAGTTCATCACTCTTCAAACCCGGAAGAACGTGATCGCGACTCCTACACCACGAACCTCCAAACCATCAAGACTTTTCATCTGAGACTGTATCTGGACGCTCGTTCCAGGCCAAGGCAATGAAAGTATCGTACATTTAACTAAACGAAACAGAGGTTTAGTATAAGCTGTAGACCCCGTTCTAAAACGGCGCTGATGGTTTTACTCAGGTGGTTAACTGATTCTTTTCATAGTTTCATTCTCTGGTTTTCCTGATGGTTTCATCCATCAAGTCTCAATTGCCCTTTCCCATGTGTGAGTGATTGTTTGTTTGTTTGTTAGACTAGTTTGTGTTAGTGTTTAGTTAATAAAACTCTTGTGCACAAATTACATGAATTTCTGATTCTGCCTTGCAAATGAATGTCCCTTTACGGTTTTGATCCTTGCTACATGCTCTAATGCATTAATACTGTATGAAAGTATTTTCTGTGGCCACAAAAATATCCTTTCCTAGAGTTGATATGAACTTACACTGAATGTTCGCTGGGCGAACAAATTAGTTGAGGTCAATTTAATTCTGCTACAGTTACTACTGGCAGCTGATATAAATAATTGTAATTAATCATAATTAATTGTAATTATTTATATACATTTCCCTTTTGAGCTAATATGCTACAGACAATATCTCCGTTTGCATTGAGCTTTCAGCTTCGTAACTTTGCAGATATTGTTTATGCTCAAACAGCAACATTACACACTAACTAACGTTAAAAAAGTGAAATCGCAATCAACCACCCCTTTAATGTCTTACAGTGATTGTGGCTTTGAAATACTGAGGGACAAACTACTGCTGAAAGGAGGAGTAAAAGCAGGAAAGGAGAAAGAAGAAGAGGGACAATCCCCAGCTAACCTACAAATCCTATCAAATATTCATTCTGAAAAGAGAAAAGAGAGGGAATTGGAACAAAATCTAAACATTCCTGTGCAGACAACAGTGTTTTTTTTTATTTTTTATGACAGGCTTCATTCTCTCTAACCCTGCAGAAAGAGATGCTCAGATCATGCTCATAGAATGCTGTACTCAAATCAAAAGGCATTTTCTTTGCGGTTTTCTGCCAATGGTGTCCAGCCATGAGTGAAACTGTCTCTATGTTTCGCTCTCTATGTGAATGACTTTTCTTCCTCTGATTTTGCATGTAAGCAGTATATTTGGGAATTCTGCAATTGACTCATAAAGAGCATGCCAACTACATGTCTTTCTGTGGATGAGTGAGTTCAATGTAAACGTCTGAGTGTTCTATTGCTTTTTGCTATTCTGAGAGTACTGGGGATTGAGCTTTTCTGTGATTGACAGGTCTGAGAAGTGAAGGAAATTGTACAATTCTAATGTAATTTTTCAAAAACATTGCACTACTATTACAGGAATAGTTCACCCAAATATGAATCATTCACACACCCTCCATTCCAAATCGTCTTCTTTCTTCCATGGTACACAAATATAAATGTTTAACAAAATGTCCAAGCTGTTTTATTTCCATTTAATCAACACAGATAGTGATACACAGAATAAACATAACTTTTTCCTGTGTGTCTTGTAACCTATTATTATGTGCCAGATTTCAATAAGAACTTAAATTGAAGTATATTACTAACATAAAACTTCAGAAAACTTGGATTGTAGTATACAAATTGTATGAACTCAGGGGTTAAAGCAAAACAAATCTTTTGACTGAAAATTTTTCCTCAGCCAAACCCCATTCCACAGCCATACCTGTCACACACCCAGATTAAGAGCAGTGTTTTTCTTCTTGTAATCAGGAGCGCTTGTCCTCCTAATTAAAAAAATTAAGGAGCACCTTCTGATCAATAAGCAAAAATTCTGATCAAAAATTAGCCTTCAAGAGCAGATTTTCTTCTTGTAATTAGGAGCGCTTGTCCTCCTAATTTTAAAAAAGTAGGAGCACCTTCTGATCAATAATAAAAAATTAGCCTTCCTAATATGAGGTGACATTTGACTCAAAGTGATTTCGGAGCACTTGTCCTCCTAATTTAAAACATTTAGGAGCATGATCAATAATCAGAAATTCTGATCAAAAATTATCCTTCCTAACACGAGGTGACTTTTGACTCCTTAAAGTGACTTACAGGGGTATTTTCTTTTTACCTTTGTAATGGCATCATTTTCATCTAT